GTGGCAGTGGAACCCCGATCGCGGGGGGCTCAGCCCCTGGGCTCCTGCTCTGGCCAAGCGACGCCGGAGGGACAACCGACCTTCTCGCTGAATTCCGAGGGGATTTGGATTGCTGAAAAAATTTGGGGCTTTCCAGGTCACTTCCCACCACCCACCCTGTCCAAGCACATCCCATGGCACAAGCTGGATATTCCCTTTCTGAGCAGAAATCCCAGGGACACTCGTTGTCCCTCGGGGAGCTGGGGGATCTTCGCACGGTTTGGGATTGTATGCGGTGATAAACATATTTGATCCGGTTTCTTTCATCTCGTTAATCTTAATTAGTTATTAATATTCTGGGAGTGCTTTGAAGGCCACAAGCTCGGTGCAAACGCTCCCTGGTACTACTGGTGTTACTATTACTCAGTGTGTGTGACCCACATGCTGGCGAGGGCCCGGGCTGCAGCCTGGAAGCCACAAAGGGAGCTGACAAGCCCCATGGAGCCCCACAGAGTCCCACGGAGCCACATGGAGTCCTGCTGAGCCCCACAGAGGTCTGTTAAACCCCATGGAGCCCCAGAGATCCCCACAGAACCCCACAGAGTGCTGATGGAGCCCTGTGGAATCTTCCATGGAGCCCTGCTGAGCCCTACAAAGCCCCACGAAGACCTGGTGAACCTCCTGGAGTCCCATGGAGTCCTGATGAGTCCCATGGAGCCCCACAGAACTCCACAAAGCTCCATGGAGTCCCATAGAGCTCCACTGAGCCCTGCTGAGCCCCACCAAGCCCCATGGAGTCCCACGGAGTCCCACAGAGCCCCATGGAGTCCCACAGAGTCCCACAGAGCCCTGCCAGGCCCAGTTGGTCCCTCACTGCCAGCTCAGCCTCTGTACCCAGAGCATAGCACAGCCCCATCCTCCAGCACCGGGGGGTGACACTCGGAGATGATCCATGTGTAGGACCTGTGACACCATCCCCGCAGCCTGCCGTGGTCCCTGGGCTGGCTCCCTGGGCACTGGCACCTCCCACCTGACCTAGAAACAGCCCTGAGCTATAAATAGGGCGGGAGCCAAAGGAGAGCTCAGAGGAGCAGCTTGGAATGCTGCAAGCGGGAGGCCGTGGGAGCTGGAATGGCATGGCAAGGACAGGCAGGGGACACAGGGTGACATGGGACTTGGGAAGGGGTGAGGCTGGACCCACTCTGTCCCCAGCAGCCCATGGAGTGGGGTGTGCAGGGAAGGCAGGCGTGGCTTTCACCAGCCTGTGTCCTGCTGGCCCAATGGTGCAGGGAGCACCATAGCTCTGCCCCCATCTCCCAGAACTTTCCCTTTTCCCAGCACCCTCACCCCACGACACTCTCCTGCCCTGTGCCACCCCTTTCCCAGCCCCACAGCAGCTGCTCTGGGCACCGTCAGCCCCCATCCAGCCCACCCTGGCTTGCTGGGGCACTGGGCTCTGGCAGTTCTGCTCTCATGCCACGCAGATGCCCACATCCCAGTGGGGATCACCCACATCCCAGTGGGGATCACCCACATCCCAGTGGGGATCACCCACACTTGGAGCATTCGAGCCACGGGTGCCGGAGCTATTGCAGGAACTGGTGAGTGGAGGGAGACTGAGGGCACTGGCACTGTGAGCCTTTCCCAGGGCCCAGACCCTGGGGTTGGCAGTGCCCCGTGCAGCTGCCAAGAGGGAAGAGGGTGACAGTGGCACAGCCGATCCTGACACAAATTAAAGCACAGTGCTGGAGTGTGATTCACCCTCCTGCTTTAAAGTCATTCATGAAAAGATTCATTGCTCTGCGTCCTCTACAGGAGCAGATCAGCGCCGGCAGTGAGTCAGTGCCGATGGCTCCTCAGCCCTGTCCAGGGGTTGGGTGGCTCAGGGGGCAATGGGACAGCCCCAATCCCAGCAGAGCAGGCACAGCTGGTGTGTGGGAGCAGCCCAGTGCCGCCCCTCAGAGCATGAGGAAGCCCCATGGCTGTGGGTCAGGTCAAAGTGGCATCAGGGGAGCAAAGGAACCCAGCACCCAGCTGAGAGTCAACCAAATCGTGGTCTGTGTTAAATGTCCCTGCTCCACGTCTGTGGGAACAGAAGGAAATGCAGGAAGAGGCGATGTGCCCAGGGGTGCTCCAAGGAAGAGCACGGTGCCCACCCCTCGCCTTCCTCTGGAAAAGCTGTCACTGTCCCCTGGCC